CCCATGCGGTACTTGCTTGACTGGACCAGGACTGCCTAGGACTGGGACTGCTGACTCAGCACGGGCAGACTCCACCACTTGCCTTACCACTTGCCCACTTACCTCAGCTTAGACGTGGGAAACTTCGAAATGCCACTGTTCGGACCTTCGAGAAGGCCGTAGACTTGGCCTTTCGACACTGTAGCAGCTGCGACCTTGACCTCTCTAGACTGCAGCGGCTACGACCTTGACTCTTCGGGAAGACTACAGCTACGACCTCTAGACCTGACTGGGACTCCTATCCGACAGGTCTACGGATCGAACCTATGCTAGCTATGAACCCTACAACAACCTACCAACTGCTACATATACACAGGTCGCGGGTTCAACTCTACGGGTCGACACAGGTACTGTACACAGGTAAGGTGGGGACTAGGGATCGAGCCCTGGGATCTGCATCAGCTACTACGAACTGGTGAATACCTTTTCAATGAGAGGGATAGGAAAGAATAGAAGAGGAATAAACCGCGTCAGGATAGAGGCACGCAGACATTTCCAAAGAGAATTCATTTTCCCACGCGTGTAGATGCCGCACAATAAATAAAGTCAGAAGACAATAATAAATTTGGCGACACACGCAATTCCTACAGCAAGAAACAAACAAGGCAATTACAAATAAGCAGGTTCTCAACCAATTTCTAAGTCTAACTTTGCTGTCTGTTTCCTATGTGATGTTGCCCTATAGCTACAGGTACCGCAGCCACGGCCAGTGCGATCAAGACAACAGCACACTTGTGAGTACACACAGCATCCACAGAACAGACAACAGGTAAGCAGAAAGCCAGCACAGCAATACAATCAATGGTTAGCTTCTACTTTATCATCTGCAGAACAATGCGACCCTCAACAACAAGTGCAAAGTCTTTGCATGCCATGTGTCACCCCTGGCATGCCAATGCAGCACTTCTGCCATGCCAGCGAAGCTCTTGCCGGTATCTTGAAATCTTCAATGTAGCCTTGTCATCATCTTGAAGGAATAGCTGCTCGCACGTGCAATACTACCATGTCTAGACTTGTGGTATTACCGCGCACGATAATAAACGCGTTTCGTTTTGCACATGCGGCACTTCCCACTTACCTGGGTGCCACGTCAGCACCTGACAGACAGCAGATTGCGATGAAAGGGCTGCTCCGATACCAAATTGTAATGAATCCAGTCTGGCAGATACTCAGAAGTCGTCAAACATCAGCAGTCTCATTTTCTGCATCAAAGTCTCCAAATCGTCACTAGCGGTTAATGGAAGGCCAAAATTCGGGGTTTTGAAATCTCAAACAGTATCTCATTACCATCAAAAGAAGAGAGTGAAGGGGGAATAGACAAAGGAGAGGAAGAGAGATCACACAGTAATAAACCCTTCAGATCCCTCTCCTTCTCCGGGCTTCCTCCCTCTCCACGTCAACAATGATAACAAGTATATTTCTGATCACACACAATAGTGGCACGTGGCACTGTATCTCGTGAAGACCATGAAGACATAGCAGATTCCAGTGTCGACGTCAACCTCAGGTGAGTACCCGACCTCCTTCATCCACAGATCTCGATCTTCCTGATCCTCGCAACCAGTCACCTCATGTGGACAGCGTGGACAGTGCCACGTCAGCAGTCAAGATAGGTGGCATATGCCACATCAGCAATGAAGACCAGTGGCAGCGCCACATCAGCATGCAATGTAGACCAGCAGTGCCGCATCAGTGTGCACTGTGAACCAGAGGCAGCGCCACATCAGCATGCAATGTACACAGAGGGTACCGCCACATCAGCATGCAATGATGACCAGAGGTAGCGCCACATCATAATGCAATATAGACCATAGGTAGCGCCACGTCATCATGCAATGTAGACCATCGGTAGCGCCACGTCATCATGCAATGTAGACCATAGGTAGCGCCACGTCAGGATGCCACCTCAGCAAGCCTGGCACATAATGCAAGAAAGCACCAGCATGCTGCCTCCTCCTCGTGCCGTCGTCCACAACGCGTGAGCACTGCCAGCGTGTAGCCAGCATCGCACCAACATGAAGCCAGCGTCTACTCAAAGTCAAGCCAGCGTCAAAGCAGCATAGCAAGACTGAATGCTTGACTCACTTGAGGCCAGCCTTAAGTAGCAGTTGTCGAGGCTGTCAGATTGGCTCACATCTGAAGGCCCGAATTGTACAGTTGCAGACTTCTCCTTTGGACCTGATGCTGTCTGGGTACCTGCATACAAACAAGTGTGTGTGCTTGACCAGCGGCCTGGGCAAGGTACCTCTGGACTTTGACTGTTGAGTGGACCGACAGTTGACTAAAGTCAACTGTCACACGCGCAGGCCCTGAATTCGTGTGGGGTCTTTTCCCCTGTTTCGGCCTAGGCTGAGGGCGGCCAAGTGGGCCCTCAGACGACCCTCAGCTTCCACGAGACATATGGCATGGGTTATTGCATGTGTTTCCTTTTTCCCTTTTTAAAAAGGGCAACGGCCTTGAGATACCATGATAGAACTGACCGGCCCTTTGGTAATTCAGAATTGTAGTAGTTTACACTTCTTTGAAGTTAGGTCTGCGTTTCGACAGTTCATGGGCCTACCAACTGAGCTAGACCAGTTGGTCGCTTACAGTGCTTCCTATTGTCCGGGTAGATCCATAATGCCCAAGACTCCTTTGAGGGGTGGGTTAACTATATATTTCCATCCCACTTTGACGATGAACTGTGTTCTGCTGACCTCCCCTGTGCAGAAATAAGCTGCTGCTTTCCTCCTAATCTGTTTTGTAAAACCTTTAGCGGGGATTCCACACAGTGGCCACATACCAAAACATGGAGAATATAGTGAAAGGATTCACGAATCTCAGCAGTACTGGTGTGGTCCCAGAGTCCCAGTTTCCCATTGTACCATAGGCCCGTCTGGTAGGTCCTTCAGGTGATGTTGTAGAGGCCTGTAGTTTAGATTCAGGTCGTACCAAAGTCGACAGTTATTTTTAGGCTCATAGGCCCATGCAGTTCAGTAGACAGTACCCGGAAGTCTGACTGTCTGAAGCGTTGTCAGTTGCAGCTTATTGCAGAAGGCCGTTACTTTTGGATGTCGGATAGCGACCGCAACTACAGGGAAGTAGGTTGGAAAATCAGAGCCATGGATTGAAGCTGCAGCCGATACTTGAGTCAGGCAGCGATCGATGTGGGAGTGGGAGTCGACACTTTATGCTTCGTGTTCAATGCGGAAGCGCTGCTGCGGTCTTGTGCGTTGATGGGGCGACTGAGTGAGTGGACGTGAGCATAGTGCTAGGGCAGTCGATGGCGCTTTTGCCGTAGTAGCTTGAGAGTCTGGAGGAGAGGTAGGAGCGAGAGTGGAAGGCATTCTGACAGGAATGGAAGAGCGACCTGTAAGTCGTACTAGTATTGAAGAGAGAATATATGTGCGAGGCTTACCTGCATTGTGTGTGAGCGGCCATAGCCGCCTGTAGGAGGAAGGAAATTTTGATACTTGTTGCAATTGCCGAGACGATTTTGGGATCCATTTCTCATGTGTTTGGCTTGTATGTGATTTGGATTGTGCAAGACTTGTGTGATTGTGTGGATGCCTGGTGGTTGATTTCCAGTCCCGCAGCGATCGATGCGGGAGTGGGAGTCAACACTTTAAGCTTCGTGTTCAATGTGCAAGCGCTGCTGCGGTCTTGTGCGTTGATGGGGCGACTGAGTAAGTGGAAGTGAGCATAGTGCTAGGGCAGTGTACGGCGCTTTTGCCGTAGTAGCTTGAGAGTCTGGAGGAGAGGTAGGAGTGAGAGTGGAATGCATTCTGAGAGGAACGGGAGAGCGACCTGTAAGTCGTACTAGTATCGAAGAGAGAATCTCTGGAGGAGAGGTAGGAGTGAGAGTGGAATGCATTCTGAGAGGAACGGGAGAGCGACCTGTAAGTCGTACTAGTATCGAAGAGAGAATCTATGTGCGAGGCTTACCTGCATTGTGTGTGAGCGGCCATAGCCGCCTGTAGGAAGAAGGAAATTTTGCATACTGATTGCAATCACCGATTTTGGGATCTAATTCTCATGTGTTTGGCTTGTATGTGATTTGGATTGTGCAAGACTTGTGTGATTGTGTGGATGCCTGGTGGTCTCACTCCAATGGAGATGTTGATTTCCACAAAGACCTACCTGTTATGGGCGGACCTTCCACCCATTCAGTTGATTAATTGCTCTTGCAAGAAACCATTTGATCTCTGGTGCCATGTGTACTAACCATAACCCTCAAGAATCTTAAAGGCGCCTGAACATCCATGCATTGCACATACCCTCCTCGTGCATCATGGTTGGCGAGGGAGTATCCCTCGCCGTCCACCATCCAGCTATCTATCCATCCGTCTTTTTCCAATTCATCTTCATTTCTGATACTGGTTGGAAGGCTTGCATTGCGCATGTCGATGTGTGAAAGGAGTGACATTCTTTTGTGCATCAGAAGTCCATAAACATTCTGTTGCAAATCCTCAGTCGTTAGCCCTATGCGAGCAGTGCATCAGTAGTTGGTGTTCCATTCACTGCAGATATGGGCTTCAAGAAAAGTCGACCGACACTTAGCAAAACACTCACTCGGTGTATGACTTTGTCTGTTGGCACAGACAGTGACCAATACTTCTACCGCAGCTCCTGTCAGCAGCGGCGCTTCTTTCATGCAGCTTGAGCAAGGGCCTCTTTTTTCGGAAAGCGAGCACCAGCAGAAACTTACTCTGGAAATGAACGAGGAGGGGAGGAAAACAATGATTGCTCCCACATCTGTCTGGTCACATTCATGGATGGCAAGTATTTTCATCCTCTTCCTCGTCGCTGGAAGGTTGATGGATGCGAATCGCAAGCCAGATAGCAGGGAGCGATCAACTTTGGAAAGACCCGAAGAGCAGAAGCTGAATGCAGAGTACGGTGTGCTGAGCATTACTGACCAAATCCTTCTCACGGATCTTGGGGATGTGCTTGCGTCTAGAACAGATAGGTCTGCTGACACTGAGTATCTCATCACAGCCGTTGATCTCTCGCCGGATGTGAAAACTGTCTACTACGCAGAAAATGCTGCAATAAAGACCAACACATCAGATTCCACTAACAAGACAGTTACTGTAGCAGTGTGGAAGGCAGAATGGGTGGAGGGGCTTCAATCGTACAATGTTTCCCATTTGGCTGGGGGCTGGCCAGTACTTAATGAAGACCCTACTAAGCCTACAAAAGACTCAGGTGTGGCAGGCCTTTTGATGCTTGATGGTGGTTATCTACTGGTTTCACAAAAGCACAACGATCGGATCGAGAAGTTGGAAGTCACAACGGGGAAGAGCATAGACAAGTGGACCCTGGAGGCGCCCTTAGGCCTGGCAAAGCACCCAGCCCAGGATGCCTTCTTTGCATCCTCCGGTGATCGCATCAACAAAATATCGTTGACAGTGCCATCATTCTGGGGTAGCGTAGATGTTATCGCAGGTCCAGAAACCAACGTATCAAGGGCAGGCTACGTGGACAGTGACGTGTCAACATGGGTTAGATTTAATGCTCCACTGATCGGACCTAGGACCTCAATCTATTTCTCATGACGGGAGAAATTTGTATGTTCTTGATTATTGGAACAATGTGGTGCGGCGTGTTAATCTTACCTCAAGGGCTACCAAAACAATTGCAGGATCGATACCATGTTTGGCCTGGAAGGGGGGTTCAATAGATCAAGTCAGTGTATTGTGACTGGGAATGGTTCCAACCTGTTTGTCACCGGCCGTGGAAGACTCCATTGGCTGTGTCTTGAAAACTCAGACGGCAACGTTTTGAGCATCAAGATAGTGGCAGAGAGCTGGTGCAGTCTGATGGTTCCAGCGGAAGCCTCATGGCTATGGCCCTCACTACAGATGATCGTTACTTGTTCGCTGGGACGGGGGATGGGCGAATCATCAAACTGGAGACAAATGTCTCTGCCTTGCACCTGTGTGGCTTGGCGCCTCTGCCTGCTGTTGATTCTGGGAAGAGCTCAACCAGTAGGAATATGTCACGAGTCATGATCTTTGTGGGTGTGGCACTGGGGTGTGCCATGTTAGTCTTGGGCGCAGGCGTATGCGCAATGTATGCCATTTGCGGGTTCAAACACGGTCAACGCAGTGTCATTCCACCACCCGATATGAAAATCACAGAGTCCTCGACAAGGACCCGGACCGGGAGCGGGAGCGGTATCTCTGTGAGCCTTCCATCGAGTTTCGATCCACTTCTCCCAACAGTCGTCCAGGAGATCTCACTCTCTGTTATACAAATGGCCATCAAAAATGGCACTTGCCTGCATGGGAAGAGTGGTGCATACGGTGATGTGTACAGAGCATCGTTGATGGTGGGGAAGAAAATGGTGGATGTGGCCATCAAGGTCATGAAAGGCGAGATCAACGAGATGAAGCACAAGCGATTCCGCGCGGAGGTAAACACACTGAGCAGTGTGCGGCACAGGCATCTGTGCAAGCTGATTGGTTTCTGCACCGAAGGGAATAAGTTCATCCTCGTGTACCCATTCATCTCAGGGGGTTCACTGTACGATCGACTGCACGAGTGCAAACACACAACGGGTAAAGTGTCAGAAGAAAGCGAGACCATGGATTCGGTCGGCAGCTGTAATTTGCCGTTGACGTGGACAGAAAGAATGTCGATCGCAAGACAGATAGCAACCTGCTTACGTTCCCTGCATCATGAGGCGGACCACCCGATTCTTCATCGTGATGTGAAAAGCCGGAACGTGCTTGTGGAAGGGGAGGGGAAATCACTGCACGCATACTTGGCTGACTTTGGGCTAGCAAGGCCAGGGAGCTGTCGTCATTCCGACGAAACCCCTTCTTTGGGTCAAACCACTGTGCCGACGTTTACAAGGTCCGGCACTCCAGGTTACATGCCGCCGGAATACATTTACGAGTCAAAACTGACGATGTCGAGTGATGTCTTTGCATTTGGGGTTGTGCTTCTGGAGCTTGTCACCGGAATGCACGCAGTTATAAAGATCAATGAAGCGGATTCTATACCCCTCTACTTGTTGGTCAGGCAGAGGCATGGCAAAGAGGTCCTGGTAGAAAATGCGTTGAGCGTTTCCTTGACGTCTGAGGAATGTGTGATGGCTGATGCTGTTGTCAAACTCGCCCTGCATTGCACAGAGGACATTCCATCTCAAAGACCTGACATGGGTCAGGTAGTGCAGGAGATTTTGGACACAGTCAAGCGAGCAAATTGTGCAGGGGACCCAAGAGCGCCCGCGGGGCACACCTTTTTGCATCCCCTCAATGGGCCTTTTCCTCGGTGATTTTTGGGAGGTGTTGTGATAGGGGTTATCGTTGCTTTTCCTGCTTCAGCGCATGATGCGATGGACCTTCTCTTCAGCCGTTCGTAGAGCTGCCATTGTGATAGAGCATAGTTGCCTTTGGTTTCGTCCCACATGGTCCCACATGCTGTGATGACTCCTTTTGCGGTGAATCATATGGGAAAGAGGGTTTCGTCTTTGTGGGTAGAGTATCGGTATTGGCTGTTGTATACGTCTTACAGCCTGTATGTGATGAGATGTCAAACTGGCAATTTGTGTGCGATAACATAGCCTATCATCTGTCCCTTCGAGCACCGACTGGCTGTGGGCGATGTGTCTTTGGTTGTGGGTGATGTGTCAATGAAACCGCGTAGCAGGACAAATGGTGGCTGCTGGCTGTGCACTCATTCATATTCAATACAACATGCATAACTGCGCCCCTTTCGTGAGAGTAGTGAATCAAAAGAGAAAAGTAGCACTTGGCAGCGCATGGGGGTGGTGGTAGTGTGTAGTGCTCGGCACAAGAGAATGGCTGGTGCCACTTTTAGTAGTGTGTAGTGCTCGACACAAGAGAAACGGTGGTGTGTGATGGCTTGGTTGAAGTGGTTGGCATGTGGCTGGTGGGTGGGTGATCACTGTTGGAGTTGTGGTATTTTTCTGATATTTTTGAAATTTTGGCTGTTTCAATCGTGATATCATAGGTGTGCCCACTTAGCGAAATAAGGAGTCCACGAATGTAAACATTAGCAATCAATTATTTTATAGAGAATTCATATTTGCAGGAGAGTGAAGGGGAGGAGAAGGGGGAGGAGAAGAGGGAGGGGGAGGGATCTCCATCCAGCCTGTGAAACTTAGACAATTCAGTTAAGATATTGTTATTATTCTTTTTGCTTTTTTTCTTGGCTAGTTCGGAATAGGTAAATTTAGTTAATTGCTATGTTAGGCCGTTGCCCGGCCCGGCACGCCCGGGCCAGTTGGGCAGAGGGGGGGTCGCCCGGCAAAACCAGACGGGCCAAAACAGAGGCAAGGATCCCAAAAAAAAAAAAAAAGACTTAAGGCCAGGACTGCGCTGGGCACAAGCAGTCAGAATCCGGTCTCAACTTCGGTTTTGGTGATGGGTCATCCAGGGGGGGTTGGGAGGTATAAACAGTGACTAAAGGGCTTAAAAGGGCACATTTGGAGTCTTTTGGGACTCATGTTTTCTCATTTATTTTTTATCTTGAAATTAACAAGGAATTTCGAGGTGGCCCTCAGCCAAAAGTCGTTTGTATTGCAATTTTACACAACATTTTTTTTTTTTCGGATTTTTTTTTTTTTTTTTCTATTTTTTAAAATATTATGCGCTGGGATCGCCCGGGTCCCTGCGCGGGCCCTGCCCGGTCCGGGCCGCCCGGGAGGGTACCCGGGCGGCCTTCCCCCAGCCGGGCCGCCCGGGAGGGTACCCGAGCGGCCTTCCCCCAGCGGGGCCGCCCGGGGACTAACACAGGTTAATTGTAACTTAATTTACTAATTTAAAAATTGAAATAACGGCGGACGCGGCATGTTTTGAAACCGTAAAGGCAAAAAAACCTCGCTCCGGCAAAGAAACCATGCGCCAACTCGAAATGAGCGATTGCGGTCCGAAAGTATCCGTTGGAAATGTTCTTTTTTCTTTGTTTTCCCCTCTGACACACCCGCCGACCCCTGTAGATATGACACCTGGTCTGACACCATGGCAGTCGGTACTTCCGTTGCCTTTTCGAACTCGGCGCGGTTTCTTTGCCGACGCATGTTTTTTTTGCCCATTCAATACTCAAAGGTGACATGAACGTACTTACCCTTTTAAAAATTTATGCTGTTATCAGTTTCATGGTTTTTTTCTTCCTTTTTTGTTTCTTCAACTTTCTTGAAAGAAAAGGGGATGCACTTGGGGTACTGCACCATGGTTGACTGGCTCAGTTAACTCTGAGCTGTTTGTGAGTTTACTTTCGAGTTCCAATTTCTGGTTTCAGTTGTGAGTCCCATTCTTGGTTGAATACTTCCTCTGCTGGGACTGTGGTACCTATGGGAGGTGCCAATTTCTGGTTTTAGTTCTAAGTTCCATTCTTGATTGCATACTGGTTCTGCTGGGACTCTGGGACGCTGGTACCTGTGGGATGTACCAAATTCTGGTTTCACTTCTAAGTGCCATTCTTGATTGAATACTGGTTCTGCTGGGTCTGTGGTACCTGTGGGAGGTACCAATCTCTGGTGTCAGTTCTGAGTTCCATTTTGGTTGAATAGTTCTTCTGCTGGGACTCTGGTACCTGTGGGAGGTACCAATTTCTGGTTTCAGTTCTAATGTTCCATTCTTGATTGAATAATGGTTCTGATGGGACTCTGGTACCTGTGGGAGGTACCAATTTCTGGTTTACCCCTCGGCATAAGGTCCTGCAGCAGGCGCGTGCCCGACCTAAGTGAAGGCTGGCCCCCTGAATCTCAATGTGCCCTGAGCTCGACAATTTTTGCAAATCTTGGTAGGCGCCAGACAGTTGCCACGCGCCAGTTGGTTACATCCGCTTTGCTCGTGACAATCGGAAATATATGTGAGCCTTCCAGGCTCTTCCAGCAACGTGGTCGATACAGGGAGCACCACACATTTGTTCCTGGGTGGTTGGGCATGCCTACCCAATTCGGTCCCAGGCCACTGTCTGAACGGGCCTGTGGCGCAGACACTTTGACCGAGAATGAAGCTACTGGAAACTCGGCCTCACAGAGGGCAAGCGGGAGGCAACGAGCCATGCCACTTTCCATATAGGAAAGAGCTGGGCTACTAGGCCGACATTCGGGCACCTGCATAGTGGAGCGCAGCGCTGCTGGAGCAAGCGCTCGCAGGCTGCCTGCTTGGCGCTAGGGGCAAGTTTGCGCGCGTGTGCGGTCGTGAGGGAGACAGGGCGCTGCTGAGGGTGGCGCCATAGCCCAGCCTTCATGGCCAGGCTGGGACTTGGACATAGCCAGTGGAGGTGGTGGTGGTCTTCGTGTGTGAGGGAGAAGACGTGGGTGATGAAGTCAAGGGTGAGAGAGAGAGAGAGAGATGAGGTTGATGATGTGAGGGCACATACCTGGTCTTGGTGATGGTCTACAAGGTCAACATCTTAGTGTACGTCGGTTGTTGCTGCTGACGTCAAGAGGATGCATTGTCAATTTGTAGGCTGCTAGTAGCTGTGTGATTGTAGTCTTGGGTGCTGAGCGCCAAGTAGGAGGAAGGACTCTGGATACATATGTTGGTGGTGGCAAGAGTATGCTCTCATTGACACTTGGATTCAGTGCTTCGGTTCTCCGTTGGTGGAATATCAGTGCATTTCTGCTTTCGGGAAAGCGTTGAACTTCCTAGCTTTCAATGTGATTTTGCACTCTGGATTTCTGTCATTTCACTATCGCTCATTTTCCTTGCGAGGAGAAAAAAAGAAATGGGAAAAAAAAAAGGCAAAAAAATTTCAAAAAAAGAGCAATACTACTAACACATTTGTTAATGGCAGTCGCATCACTGCCAGGAGAAATGCACAGGATTCGACAAGTCTTATCCTCACAGACTAGTGCTGAACTTTTTCGCATGTGTGAGTCAACGTGCGCACTTGATTGGGAAAATCAATTATTTCTCCACCACTAAGTACACGAGGAAATAAAAATGGCACACTTGTTTCGAAATCAATAACCCACACTTTTTTTTTTTTGGGAGGGGGGACCATTTCTCTATCTATACGTGTCATGCTTGCACAGGGGCCATGCTTATCTTCTCTGTATCGTTCCAATCCTCTTCATGGATGTCGCGGAGGACTCAAGTCCGTACACTTGAGTCTTGGTCGATTGGAAATCAGTCATGCCTACTGCAAGGAACATGAGTATGGACGAAGCACAGAAATCCAGAATGCAAAATCACACTGAAGTCCAAGTATTCAAAGCCAAAGCAGATAGCACATGGAACCGAGTAGCCATCCCATTGAGAATGATACAGAAGAATCGTGAGTCAATGTCCATGCCCAACAGGGCAACACCAACAGCATAACCCAAATGTAGCTCTCTCTTGTGAATGGYGCCAGGCGCCCTATCTACCCTACAGCCTATCCTACAACTACAGCAATGAGCAGCAACCAGACAACTTGACTACCAGCGAGTAATGATGTCAACACCAATGCCGTATTCACCATCACCAGGTACGTTTTATCTTCCCCACACTCTCTCTTGTTACCCACACAGCGCCATTCACCTCCGAAGTACCACCTTCGCCCTCACCTCCCCGGCACCCTCTTGCTAACCGGCTATGGCCGCCAGTGCCCTGCATGCAGACAGCGCCCTACCGCCTAGCGCTGGCCTGCTCTGTCTTAGCGCTGCGCTGCGCTGCATAGCGCTGCACACTTGCATCCGCCCAGCGTGCCCGCATATGCCAGCATTGGCCAAGATCCTCGCTGCCTCGCCCTGCTTGCCTATATGCCCCAGTGCAGTGTGTGGGCGGCCTCCCTTCAGCCTGTGACCGGGGCCCAGAGGCTGAAGCCAACTCGATACAGTTGGGCCTCGGGGTAAGGCAGTTGCGCCTCCTTCATCAAGGCCTGCGGCCAGATTCAGACAGTGGGCCGATTTCCCTTTGGCATTTTCGGCCTCTCTTCCCAGCATGCATTGTCGGCCTCACGTTCAGATGCCCAGGGCCTAACCAACTCAAAGGCCCTGGGCTTTCAGCATTTGCTGAAATCCGAGACTCGGTGCACTCCAACCAACTGCCGTGCTGCAACTGTATGAACCCCACCTCGTGAAATGTTGCACAAAGGGCTCTTGTCGATTTGCTGGCCCGCCTTCACTTAGGGCGGGCACTAGGCTTGCTGGGGCCTTAGCCCAGAACATGTACATCATGGCAAGGCCCCTACTTGAGGGCTCAATCCTCACATTCCATCCCCCTTAGCTTCGAAAGTCCGCTGAGATGCTTACTTCGCAGGCGCCTTCCCTTTCAGTTTCTTCTCATAGTCTGCCACCACCTGAGGAGCTGTGTCAATCAGTTCCTCCCTGGTAAACCAACGATCTTCTTTTGGATCCGTTTGATGCCTGAATCTGACGCGGTACTCTCTTTTGGGCTTGGGAGGTCTTCCTCGGCCCAGCGGCTTTGGAAAAGGCATGTCCCTGTGATCCACAATGTCGTCGATGTCAACTTGACCATCCATGGTTGGGGGCAGCATCGATCTCCTAGAAGGGAATTGATCTGTCTCAGCAAAAGGTGCAAGCTTTGAGGCATGAAAAACTGGGTGAGTGCGTAGATGACCAGGGACACGAATGACGTACGTAGAACCATTCATTGCATCTCCCACTACATCCAAAACTTCCCAGGGACCAGAGTATTGAGGCATCAGTTTACGAGATATTCCGAACTCCTGTCCTAACTCACTAGCCTTGACCCAGACTCGTTCCCCCACCTGAAATGTGGACTGTCTGCGATGTTGATTCTCGGAAGCAATCATGGCTTGCTGAGTTTTCTTCATATGTTCAACAGCCTCGCCCAGCAACTTCTCATATTGCACACCGTATTCAAGTGTGCCTGGAGTTGCAGCAGGTCAGTTTTCAGGTAGGAGAAAATCTAGTGCTGATCTAGGCTTCCATCCCAAGTGCAACTGGTTAGGACTAACGCCGGTACTACTATGAATAGCATTGTTGTACAAGTTGGCGATGAGAGGCAACTGCTCATCCCAATCATCTTGGTTGGGCTTGATGTAATGYCGCAGCAAGTGTTGTACCACTCTGTTCATTTGTTCGGCTTGTCCGTTGGCTTCGGGATGATTCCCTGAAGTCATTTGAAGTTGACTGCCCATCTGTTCTGCAGTCTTCTTCCACAGTTCACTTGTGAAGCGGACGTCTCGGTCACTAATGATGGTCTTCAGTAAACCAAAGTCCCTTGCCCAGTTGTCCTTGAACAACTTGATGACATACTCCGTCTGGGCTGTCTCTGGCATTGGTATTAGTCTAGCGTACTTGGTGAATCTATCAATGATGACGAAAATGTGCCTCTTACCACTCTTGCTGGTCACAAGGGTGTCCATGAAATCCATGAAAACACTCAATCCTGGACCATCAGGAATGGGTAAAGGCTTCAATAGCCCAAGCGGTGCTTGAGTTCGCGGCTTGTCCCGCTGACAGACCTGATAGGTCTCAACATACTTCTTTGCGTCATCTAGCATTCTGGGCCACCAAAATCACTGTACTAAGTTAGCACTCGTCTTCTTGTAGCCAAAGTGCCCAGTTGCGTCATGACATTCGCCTAAAAATAAACTACGCAACWGTTCACTAGATGGAACTACCAATCTCTTTACTCCGGCCTTATCAAGATAGATTAGTCCATCCACCATCACAAACTCACTTTCTGTGGCCTTGTCTTTTGCCTRAAGTTTGCGGATGATGTCCATYRTGACAGKGTCTTCCTGATAGGCTCCCACCAATGATTGAGTTACTTCRTTAGATACGCCRAATTCGRAAACTAGCGCACCTAGGTAGTCTGCTCTACGGGATAGCGCGTCCGCAACCTTGTTGTACTCTCCTTTCAGGTACTCAAGCTTGAAGTCATATTGGTCTATGACCTCAATCCATCGCTTGAGTGCATCAGAAAGAGYCGGTTGAGTCTTGATCCATTTGAGGGTCTGATGATCAGTCCTCAGATAGAAGAATCTTCCCAAAAGGAAGTGTCTCCAATGGACAAGTGCCTTGTAGAGAGCGTAAAGTTCCCTTTCGTAGGTGGACTTAGCCAATTTCTTCGATGGCATCTTCTTACTTATATACTCAATCGGTCTCAACTTTTTCCCATCCTGTTGAGCCAGCACTGCGCCAATGCCGTATTGGCTTACGTCAGTGGTCACTATGAATGGCTTCTGCGAATCGGGAACCATGAGAACTTCGTGATTCATGAGTGCATGCTTCAATCTCTTGAAAGCACCCTCGCACTGATCACTCCAGTCCCACGGTGTGTCAAGTCGAGTTAGATCTGTCAAAGGAGAAACGATTGTAGAATAGTTCTTTACGAAGTTCCTATAGTAGCCGCACATTCCTAAGAAAGATCTGACCTCAATAACTATCTGAGGTCGTGGCCAGTCTCGAATACTAACCACTTTCGCATTTTCCGGCCTAATTCCCTCCGCGGATACGTCATGACCCAAGTATAGAATATTAGTGCGACCGAATTCACACTTCTCTAGGTTGATCTTATACTTGTGCTATTGTAGGAGTGAGAGAACTGTCTCAACATGTTGTGCGTAGTCCTCGGCAGACTTACTAAAGATCAGAATGTCGTCTAGATAGACTACGACAAACTTATCTAAATGGTCATGGAAGATTCGATTCATAGCGTGCTGAAATGTACCCGACGCATTGCAAAGACCGAAAGGCATCACTACAAACTCATACAGACCATATCTAGTCTGAAAAGTTGTCTTGTGTTGGTCCTCAGGTCTTATTGCGATCTG